TTCTAAAAAGGACCAAAGCACCCACACTTTGGTCTTCCTTCTTCTTCTTGAGTTTCATGTGGTCTATGCATTGTGTCTTAAGTAATGTGAGCTTTTGGGCTAATAGCCACTTATCAGTGAGTGCTTACCATGTGTGTTCTTTTGCGATTGGGTCACCTCACTCAGGATGATATTTTCCAGCTCCATCTATTTGCCTATAAATTTCATGAACTCATTGTTTTTAATAGCTGATTAGTACTACATTGTATAAATGTACCACATCTTCTGCATCCATTCTTCTGTTGAAAGACATCTGGATTCTTTCTAACTTCTAGCTGTTATAAATAACGCTGCTATAAACATAGTAGAGGATGTGTTCCTATTGTCTGTTGAAACATCTTTTGAGTATATGCCCAGGAGTGGTATAGCTGTGTCCTCAGGTAACACTATGTTCAATTTTCTGAGGTACCACCAGACTGCTTTCCATAGTGGTTGTACCAGCTTACAGCCCCACCAACAATGGAGGAGTGTTCTTCTTTCTCCACATCCTCGCCAACATCTGTTGTCACCTGTGTTTTTGATCTTAGCCATTCTGACTGGTGTGAGGTGGTATCTCAGTGTTGTTTTCATTTGCATTTCCCTGATCACTAAGAATGCTGAACACTTCTTTAGGTGCTTCTCAACCATTTGAGCTTCCTCAGTTGAGAATCCTTTGTTCAGCTCTGTGCCCCATTTTTTAATAGGGTTATTTGATTGTCTAGAGTCTAATTTCTTCAGTTCTTTATATACCTTGAATATTAGCTCTCTATCAGATGTAGGTTTAGGGGAGATCTTTTCCCAGTCTGTTGGTTGCCGCTTTGTCCTATTGACTGTGTCCTTTACTTTAGAGATGCTTTGAAGTTTTATGAGGTCCCATTTGTCAATTCTTGATCTTAGAGCATAAGCCATTGCTTTTCTGTTCAGGAAGTTTTCTCCTGTGCCCATGTGTTCCAGGCTTTTCCCCAATTTCTCTTCTGTGAGTTTCAGTGTAGCTGGCTTTATGAGGAGGTCCTTGATCCACTTGGAATTGAGCTTTGTACAAGGAAATAAGTATGGATCAATTTGTATTCTTCTACATGTTGACCTCCAGTTGGACCAGCACCATTTGTTGAAAATGCCATCTTTTTTCCACTGGATGGTTTTAGCTCCTTTGTCAAAGATCAAGTGACCATAGACATGGGGGTTCATTTCTGGGTCTTCTATTCTATTCCATTGATCCTCCTGCCTGTCTCTGTTCCAGTACCCTGCCATTTTTATCACTATTGCTTTGTAGTACAGCTTGAAGTCAGGGATGGTGATTCCCCCAGAAGTTTTTTTTATTGCTGAGAGTAGTTTTTGCTATCCTGAGTTTCTTGTTATTCCAAATGAATTTTAAGATTGCTCTTTCTATCTCTGTGAAAAATTGAGTGGGAATTTTGATGGGGATTGCATTAAATCTGTAGATTGCTTTCAGCAAGGTAGCCTTTTTCTTTCTTTCTTTCTTTCTTTCTTTCTTTCTTTCTTTCTTCCTTTCTTTCTTTCCTATTTTCTTTTCTTTTTTTTTTTTTTTGGTTTTTCAAGACAAGGTATCTCTGTGTAGTTCTGGCTGTCCTGGAACTCACTCTGTAGACCAGGCTGGCCTCGAACTCAGAAATACGCCTGTCTCTATCTCCCAAGTGCTGGGATTAAAGGCCTGCACCACCACCGCCTGGCTTTTTGTTGTTGTTGTTGTTGTTGTTAACCTTTTTTACTATATTAATCCTTGCAATTCATGAGCATGGGAGATCTTTCCATCTTCTGAGATCTTTTACTATGTTTAGGTATGGACCTTGAATTCCTGAACTTTCCAAGATTTTTACCATGAAGGGGTATTGAATTTTGTCAAATGCTTTCTTAGCATCTAGTAATATGATTGTGTGGTTTTTTCTTTGAGTTTGTTTTTTTGGGAGAGGGGAGGGTGGTGGCAGGTTCTTAATGTTTACTTCAAGCAGCCCTGAAACTCATTACATAGACTAGGCTGGTCTCCAATGAGATTCCCATATCTCTGTCTCCTGGGTGGTACAATTAAAGGCATGCACCAACACACTCAGCTTGCCTATCTCTTTTTGTAGATAGTCATCATTCAGATCATTTCTCTGATGTGTATAGTATTGATCTATTTGTCTCTGACTGTATGGCTGTTAATAGGCCTTTCTCCTGTAAGGATGAAATGACAGGGGTGGACCTCCTTTTCAGTTTCCTTCTACAATGACTTGGTGATTCCATTAGAATTTCTGTGTCATGGAGTAAGTGTGGAAATCACCAGAGTTATACGAATGTATTGTTAAAGAAGTGTATATTTAATATATTGTCAGAATTATTCTTTCTATTAAACACATGTATGGATATTTTAGGATGCACTGACATATGATGATGTCCACATTAACTTCACTCCAGAAGAATGGGCTTTGCTGGATCCTTCCCAGAAGACTCTCTACACAGATGTGATGCTGGAGACCTACAGGAACCTCACTGCTATAGGTAAGACTATGACTTTTAATCCATTTTTTAAAATATGAGGAAAGGTGTTTCTTGGTTATTGAGCTCTTCTTTCATTTTGATTGTGAAAGAGGAACAATGTGGTAAATAAATCAGGCAGAGTTCTCAGGTTCATTCAGAAGAATAACTTAACTTTTCATCAGTTTTCATTATATATCATACATTTTCTGGTAATATATTTTAGGTTACAAATCAGAAGACAATAATATTGAAGAACATCTTCAAAATTCTAGAGTACATGGAAGGTAAGTTTCATGTTCATACAAATGTGCCACTAAAGAAATCTGAGTGTGCCCTTGAAGTTTTAAGAAAACTCAGTATAATCAAGCATAGCTTTAAGTGTATTGATGATTAGTAAATTCACACAACACCATGTACCTCAATGTCAGATAGTCGAGAAAAAAGCACAAGGAAACAATGACTTAACAGCTATTACATTTTAATTATATCCCCATGGGAACTGCTCTATAGAACTGCCAATTGATTTAGGTTGGTACATCTCAGTTATTGTGAAGGACATACACATAGATTAGATGATAAGTGTATGTCTAAAATCTTTTACTAGGCAAACATTCCATAATAAATCCCACATTACTCATATACATTTATTGATTTACCAAAGTATAGTGAGAAGGGTAATTTATGAGATTCAAGTAGATTATGGTGTAGAAACCTTTATCCTGATATTACACCTCTGTGATGAACAAACAGTTAAACTGTGTGAATGGAATGTAGAAACCTTTCATTTTTTATTCTTGCCATAAAGATACATGTCACATTAGATCAAAGGCACGTGAGCACCTGGAACATGGAAAGTGCCTTTCTCTCTCACAACAATTAGAAGATATACAGTTGTCCCGACTTTGAGTAGACTGAGAAGGGGATGTGAGTTTACAAATAATTGTGTATCCAACTTCATTGAGAATATGTAAATACATTCACACTGCAGAAAAGCCCTTTTAGTACAAGGAACATGGACATTCTGCTGTTTGTCCTGGTTCATTTTGCAAATGTAACATGACAATATAGCAAAATGATGAGTAAAATCACTGTGGCAAACCTCTGAATTCTTCCAATTCACTTTAGAAATGTGGAAAAACTCACATGAGAAAAATGTGTCAGAAAGATGAACCATGTACTAAACGCTTTAACCACCATAGCTATCTTCCAATATACAAAAGGAACCATAATAAAGTAGAAACTTATGAATCGAAACAAGTGATACAACTTTACAATTTGGTCTCTTTTTACAGTAAACTAGACAAAATTGTAAAATTAAACCATATAGATAAAAAGAGTCATCACTGTAATCAATGTGGTAGTGTTTATACATGTCAATTGTCTTCACAGGCATAAAGGAAGTGTTGCCAGAGAGAAACCCTATGAATATATTCAATGTGATAAAGCCTCTACAGTTCACAGTGATCTTCAAAGGCCTGAAAGTATTCATTCTGCAGAGAAACCGTATCAATGTGGTAAAGCCTTTTCTTACCACAGTAATCTCCAAAACCATAAAGGAACTCACAATGGAGGAAACCCCTATGAATGTGATAAATGTGATAAAGCCTTTTCACAAAAAAGTAATCTCCAACAGCAAAAAAAGTCACATTCTGGAGAGAAACACTATGAATGTAATGAATGTGGTAAAGCCTTTTTACAACCCTGGAATCTCCGAAAGCATAAAAGAACACATTCTGGAGAGAAACCCTATGAATGTAATCAATGTGGTAAAGCCTTTTCACAACACAGTCATCTCCAAAACCATAAAAGGACACATTCTGGAGAGAAACCCTATGAATGTAATCAATG